AAAATGAAGCTTGATTTGGGTTTATGGTAGGTTGACCCTGGCTGGATGCCAGGTGCCCACCAAAGCTGCTCTATCACTCCCCTTCCTCAGTTGGACAGGGGAGAGAAACTATGAAAGGTTCATGGGTTGAGATTTGGACGGTTTAATAAAGCAAAAGCAAAGATCACGCATGAAAGCAAAGGAAAACAAAAGATTTCACTTTCTACTTCCCATCAGCAGGCCATGTCCGGCCACTTCCTGGGAAGCAGGGCTTCAGTATGTGTAATGGTTGCTTCGGAAGACGAATGTAAATAATGAATGCCCCCCCCCCGCCCCCAACTTCCTCCTCCCTTTACTTAGCTTTTATTGCTGAGCAGATGTCACATGTATGGAATATCCCTTTGGTCAGTTTGGGTCAGCTGTCCTGGCTACGTCCCCTCCCAAGATCTTGCCTACCCCCAGTCTGCTGGTGAGGAGGGAGTGTTGGAGACAGCCATGATGCTGTGTGAGCGCTGCTCAGCAGTAGCCAAAACATTGGTGTGTTATCAATGCTCTTCTAGCTACAGATGCAAGCACAGGACTATGAGGGCTGCTATGGGGAAAATTAGCTCCATCTCAGCCAGACCCAATACAGGAGTTTTTGCGAGTCACGTACAAAAAGTCACATGCAAATCATGTAAGTCACAAAGAAAAACTTCCTCAGATAAAACACTTTTCTAGCAAAACATTTCAAAGCTGGTATTTACCATCAAAATACTTATTCAAGTTAGTTTACAACTCTAAAGGGAGGGATTAGTCTTTCCAAAGTTAAATTTGACGTCCTGGCTCTATACTCAATGGAGGACATAGATGATGATTATCAGCTAACTTGGGCACCTGCTTTGACTCACCTGGATTGAATGTATTTATTTTTCTTTACTGATTATGGGAGAAAACTTGCCTTGACCAATGGCTCAGTTTTAGATCGATTAACTTTGGTTAGATGAGTCCTATTAATTTTTCTTCTAAACTTCTGGGTGAAAAAAGAGGAGCTGGTGAGAGCTGGTGTCTGATCTTAAGCCAAAATTCTGGTGTATGAAATGTGCAATGCTTCTCACAGTTCTGGAAAAGCTGTTTCACTATATTGTTTATGTGAGGTTTGCAGTTGCAGACTAGGGGATTGTCAGTGGTTTACTAATGAAATGTATAACTCATATGTAATTCTGATTTGTATTTTTGAAGATCATTAATTGTTTATGTGTTTGTAATCGTTAGCTATCATGCTGTGAAGAGTATGTAACTCTTTACACTTAAGATACACCAAAGTAGTATTTCTTTATTGTAAGACTGAGAAGTGTGTTGAATTAGCCTAGGTTAAATACAATGCAATGCCTTCACTACACATAACACATCACTAGAGTGGACCTAGTTTGCAGTATGTTTTTAAAGTTCACTTCAGTTCACTAACAATCCAGACCTGAAATATTTAATATCTACTCTCAATTGAGATAGAAAAGAACTTAGAAAAAAATACCAGAGTGTCGTGGTTTAAGCCCAGCTGGCAACAAAGCACCACAAAGCCACTCACTCACTTCTCCCCCACTGGCACCAGTGGGATGAGGAGGAGAAAAATAAGGAAATGCTCGTGGGTCGAGACAAGGACAGGGAGGGATCACTCACCAGTTATGGTCATGGGCAAAAGACAGACTCAACTTGGGGAAAAAACAAAATCAATTTAATTTACTACAAATGAAATCAAAACAAGGATAATGAGAAGTAAAACCAAATCTTAAAACACCCCCCCAACACACACACACTTCCCGGCTCAACTCCACTCCCGGTTTTCTCTGCCTCCTCTCCTCAGTGGCACAGGGGGACGGGGAATGGGGGTTGGGGTCAGTTCATCACACCTTGTCTCTGCTGCTCCTTCCTCCTCAGGGGCAGGACTCCTCACTTGTCCCCTGCTCCAGCGTGGGGTCCCTCGCACAGGAGACAGTTCTCCACAAACTTTTCCGGCATGGGTCCCTTCCGTGGGCTGCAGTCCTTTAGTCACAAACTGCTCCAGTGTGGGCTTTCCCATGGAGTCAGGGGCATCTTCGGGGGCATCCACCTGCTCCGGCGTGGGCTCCCCCCCGGGCTGCAGGTGGGCATCTGCTCCCCTGCTCCCCTCCATGGGCTGGGGGGGGGACAGCCTGCCGTCTCACCACGGGCTGCAGGGGCATCCCCTCCTCCAGCGCACCTCCTTCCCCGCCTTCTTCACTGACCTCGGTGTCTGCATGGGTGTTTCTCTCACATTCCAGTCCCCCTACTCACTGCAGGCTCCCCTTCTTAAATCTGTTCTCCCAGAGGCGCTACCACCGTCACTGATGGGCTCGGCCTGGGCCAGAGGTGGGTCCGACTTGGGGCCGGGGGAAGTTCTAGCAGCTTCTCACAGGAGCCACCCCTGCAACCCCTCCCCCACTGCCAAAACCCCACTACACAAACCCAAAACTCTGATAAGTTATGTTGTGCTGGAAAATTACAGTTGCTTGACATTTTTCTGTTCCCTTTGCTTACTTTTACACAATTTTGCCTATCTAGTAACCTGCTATGCTAGCAAAGTATTTCTGAGGTGTGCTGGACATCAGTGTAAAATGTTTCTAGCTTCCTGTCAGGCAGCACTGGTGAACTCACCAAAGACCCCAAATCATGTGTTTTCAGGGCTGGCTTGACTCTGCCTTAGCTTGAGCGAAAACCAGAAAGAGTATTTTATTGACTCTTTTATATGGGTACTTGTGTGTGTGTTGCGCTAAGAAAGACAGCAGCAAGGATAGAAATATTCTGCAGGACAGCTTTCTATTAGGCTTTTTAAAAGCATAGGTCCAGCTTTGAATATATTCAGATGCCACTATTTAAACTTTTCAGTGACCCCTGACATATCATAAACTACAAATTTTAATGAAGATGTATGTTTTTCACTGAGTATACTACTTCATTTTAAATTTAATTGTAAAGTTTGATATTCTGTATTGCATTCATGGTTAATGTAATACTATCAAGCCAGTTTATTAAAAGGTTGCTATTTTTCAACATCTTCTTAGGTAACACAAGTATTTTCTATTTCATTTGAGCATGTATAACAAAGATACTAGAATGTATTGACTAGTGTGTACAAGTCAAGCTTCTGTTCTTAACTAGGTGTTCAACACAAGCTGGAGCTGGAAATGATGTGGAGTTAACAGGAAAAATACAGCTACCAGTGGAGCCACAGCTGAGTGTTTCATGTTCATTTGTGTAAACTCAGCTTAGACCACACATCAGACTGTGGCCTATACTGGTTTATCCTGAATATATTGTGTGCAGTGTTACCTGCTGCTGAAACCTCCTGGCAGGAAAAAGGTTTTCTAAGTACAGTTTGTTGCCTGAAGTGAAATAACTTTGTGGACTGAAGCCAGTTTCTGGGAACTTCATTATGAAAGTTCCTTCCTACAGGGTGTGAGCTGAGAGCTGGGAAGGCTCTTCTTGTCCCTCTGAACAGCACAGAAGAACATGGATGAAACAGGATAGCCATATATTCCTCTATTGCCATGCTATGCATTCATTTGTGGGTTACAAATGTAAGAGTATTTTTTCACGCATTTCAAATGTTAAAAATATTAATTGAAATATTTGGCCATTTAACAGCAAAATTATATACCTCTTTCTTAGATTTACAAGCGTTAGCCTAAATAAATAAATGGGAAGTCTCATTTTAGGCAATCCATTTTGTCTTGCCATCCAAAGCATTGGACTAGTTTATGCTTGCTCTTTCTGCAGTTCCACAATTCATATTTGTCACAAATGTGAAAAAAAAAAAGAAGGCAACTGGATTTCCCCCAAAATTCAGCAATATCAGTTTTCCAAAACTCTTATGTGGTAGCCCTACATCCTTTCTTTTCTTTTCTGTGTGTGAAGTAAGGAGGGAAAAATATCTCTGTAGATATTTCATCCTCTCTGTCACTGGTATGTTTCTGATGACTTATTCAAATCTGACTGACACTGGCTATCTATGCTGAGTGTGCTGAAAAATATGAACATATATAGATAAAAAATATATGCAGACTTATGCTATGTAAGATATATGTAATGAAATGAGTATAAAATCTAGACCACATGTAGAGAGCATTAAAAAATCTATATATTCCATATATTTGTATCTGAACATACGGTAGGTATACCTGCTGCTAAGATTTTTTACTGCTAACCAAATTGACTAATTCTAAATGATCTTTGGGAATAAAGTCAACAGAATAAAGACAGACTAAAAAAAAAGTCTTTTTTTGGAAATGTGCATTTCTAACACAGATACTAGCCTACAGTTTTTACAGAACAAATTTTAGGATGAGCAATAAAAGGAAAAAAAATGGGCTGCTTTAAATAATTCTGTCTGTAACAACAGCCTTTAAATCACTGGTTACTGTTTTTAAACCATAGCTCTGAGGTCAACAGTGGCTGTGTTTGTATTAGTTTTTTAATTTGGATCAGGACTGTGTTTTGAAATTAATTTCATGTGCACTTATCATGCTTTGGTTCACATCACTGAGTGGTCTTGGAGTACACAAGCTGTATTCCTTTTGGATGAAACTAAGTTGGAAAATGTGCTACAAGAGTGCAGTTTATATACTTCAGCATGTAGTGCTCAATCTGCAAATGGGACCAATTTAGGACTAGTAGAGGTTAAGATCTCTGAAATGCATGTGTTGTGCACTAACTGTTAAACTCTACAGTTCTGTTCTTAATGCATTGCAGAACTTGCTAGTATTATATGAATTGAACAACTGAATTTTTGTCTGAGACAGGACCTCTGCTTTTCTTCCAGATTTTGTCTTTTTCTTCTGCAGCATAGGTTTAATAGGATTTTTGCATTCAGAAACTCAGAAGTTTATTAAAATAAGAAAAATCAATGTGGGATGGAAGCACAGAACTTATTGAAGTGTGAATATAGATGTTATGGCAGAAAACATTAAATCTAACAAAACTCATGGGTTTGGGTTTTTGTTTGTTTGTTTGTTTGTTTTTCCCAGGAAAGAACAGTAACAATTAGAAGACAGACTGTAGGAGGATTTGGATTAAGTATAAAGGTAGGATTATTTTTTTGGTCTATTATTCCACGTTACACAAAAAGTGTCTTTGTATATAGTTAATGTTACTTTTAATGAGGACAAACTGTATTCTAGAGGACTAGAAATGAGAGCGAACATATTCTAGGATGTTAGCTACTGTCATTGTAGGTAGGCAACCAGCAACTACACTGCCCTATGGAATGGAATGCAATGGAAAGATCATTCCCTTAAGATTCAAGCTGAGCAACTCTGTAATAAGATTTGATATGAGAGTTGAAAAGTGTTTCCGACTGCACAGACTGTACTTTGTTCAATAGCATTCTAATTTAAGTGGTTATTAATGAACGCTAAATTACAGTGGCAGGCACATGGAACAGCCAATAAATTCATCATCAGTTCTCCTACAAAGAATATCACATTAATTCACTACAATTCATTAGTAGGACAGAAAGTGTTATTGCTTTCTCATATTGTTTATTTTGCTCTAGATCAAGCAAAGGCAGTGATTTATCATGCTACCATATTTTTGCTTTCTTCAGTAAGATTTAAGAACATATGTAAGTGTAGGTGATCCTTTTTGAGGGAGGGAGGGAGGGGTGAGGAAAGGGAGGAAGGGTTAATCATTTTGGCATTGTAATCTATGATTTCAAAAACCTTACCTTAGCTTTGAATTTCAGTGTAGACAACACAACATTAATTTTATCTTCCAAACACAGCAGTCCTCAGTCTCAAGATAGCAATGGAAGTGAAGTGTACTTCACATGAATGCAGAGAGGCTTAAATTATGCATATAAAGTGAAAGTATAGACTTCCCTGTGAACATCTGCTAGTACTGACCTTATAAGAAGTGACTCAGAAGAGGGATTAATGTGCATTTGTGTTGTCATTGATAAGAATTTTGCTGAATAGAAATACTAGTTCTTAAAATATGTCTTGGTACACTTGCTGTTATCTCGTTGACCCACTAAAGATCTCTATTCAAGGCAAACTAATTGCTGTCTTGTGGCCAAAGTTTCTCATGAGTTTAGTCAACAGCACACAAGTTATTTTTGTCCAATATCTTTATAGGTTACAGTTCACTGAATAACGATGGAAGTAATGCGTGTCAGTGTAAAATCAAGTATATGGGTGAATGAGGGTTTATTTAGCTGGTGCTAGGAAAGAAGTGGTTACAGTAAGGACTTTTGAGGTTTGGAGAGCAAATCTCATCAAGAGTCACTAAAATTGATTTTTTAGTTATACCTTACAATGGGTTGTCTTTTAGAATTAAAATTGTTGACAAGCTCAAGATCACATTTTTTAAGTATCAGGTACCTTGTATAAAATTAAATATCATTGAGAAATATAAATTAAATAGTGATTGTGCAATGGTCTTTCTTAAATTAGTGGAGCAAGATACTCTTGAATTTTTAGAGCAAGGTATCCATTGTTCTGGAGAAAATTCTTGGAAGTTGCAAGAGTATTTAAAAGTACCAAAATAGATTTAGATTGTGAATTCTGCTTAGAAGGGAATTTATCTTTTTTTTTTTTTTTTAATTAAGAACCAATTTCAATAGAAAAAAATAACAATAAAAAACTGTATCAAGTGTATTAGGAGCAACTGCAATAGAATTTACAAATAAAGGCTTTCAATTAAATTATTTTATTTAAGTGTATTTTCTAGGTTTAATTTATTGAATAGATATTTTGGTCAAAATTAATCTAAGTAGTGGAAAGGTGGAGCTACATAAATTTGGATGTGAATAGACAATTTCTTTTAATTTTTGGAATAACTAACAATCAGGTGATGGAGTCCCTTCAACAAATGTCATTAAATAGAAAAGAGATCTCTTTCAGCAATGGAAACTCAAACTTATTGGATGGTGTAGATTAGGTAACGAAAGTGGTGAGTAGAATTCTATGGTCTGGGATATTCTGTCGATGTGTATCAAACAGTATGATTTTATTATTTTTTTTAATGATTTATTGTTAAAAATCAATGAATGTGGGACCTCTTGTGCTAGATCCCTTTATTAGCAATCCTACATTCTCAAAAAGAAAGATCGACAAGCAATTGAATAACTAACACAAAACAAATAATTAATCAATATAATCTACTATTATCGTTTTAAGCTGCTAGTAAGAAACAACTTAGAACTGGAACTTAAAGTAATGGTGTTTGTAGTTTGGTAGGCAAACTTTATGAATACTGACTGAAATGGACTTTTTAGGTATGCCATGAAGTGTCAATGTCAGTTCCAAATATTGTGAAAAGTGCCAGTTTTCTGTTTTAAAAGGTAGTCTTCAATCCTGGTATGCTTCCTCTTGCAGATTAATAACAGTTTGTTACTTTGTTTTGTTTTGGAATATTCCTGAACTTTAATAAAAGGCTTATATTTATTATTAATTTTAAATAGAAAAGTAATTATTTTGTAATAGTGCCTTAAAGTAGAGTTCTACAAGTCACCCTGCAGGAGTGAGGAAGACTGAGGCCTTTCCTCCTTGTTTCAGTAACTATCTCATACAACCCCATGTACTACAGTGGTTCCTGTTGTCTTGCTACACTCAGATTATTTAAAGAAGGGGGTTATCTGAGGACTTACTTTCTGACAGTGGTGTGTGTTAGAGAATGCAGTTTATCATCTGAGGTGTGAGTTATAGCAGTACAGTGATTAATGATCCTCACTTTAAAATATTTGCTTGTGCTTTGGTATGGATTTGTCTAGTTTTGGCATTCAGCTATAGGGCATTATCATGCCTTTTTTCTGCTAACTTAAGCACCCATTTGCTATCAGAAATCTCACATGATCAAGTCACCTTTTAACTTTCTCTTGAGTAAATTCTGGAAATGTCTTATCCCACCTTAAGTATTCTGGACCCTTGGAATTTTTTTTTTTCCCTGAAGAGGAGAAGGTCAAAATGTTAATAATTCCAAAATGAAACTGTGGTTATCTTTTGGTGGCTTCTTTACAAGGGGAACTCTCTTCTTTTGTGTTATAATGTGGGTGCTCCAAATACATTTGTAATAATCAGAGATTCAACTAACTGCTTAAAAAACCTGCTTGTGAGATTGATTTTTATACAAGATCTGAACTTAAGCCCTTTAAAAAAATGCTTATAATCCACTCTTTAAAGGTTTGAAAGAAAAAAAAAACACCTGTTTTGTGTTTTGCTGTAGTTCATTTTGCTGAAGTTAATGGTAAAAGTGTGATTGAATTTGAAGCAGACCGGATCTGTCTTCCACACTTCAGAAGGAATTATTTTCTAATTTCTGAAGCCCCTTTAGAACCCTCAGTAATCAATCTCTATGCATGAAAGAATAGCCATGGATTTAGATGTAGAAAATGTTAAGTGTATTGTAGTATTTCAGTCATCACATCTCCGACAAGTTTGAGAAGCAGAGATTTGACACAAGAAGCTGCTAAGTGTATGACTTCTGAAAGAACATCATGTTTCTCAATAATTGGAGTGTAGTGTTCTTGCGGAATTAGGCAATAAAATTGATAGTTCATTAAATAAATTAAGGTTTGCAGTTACAGTCTGACTCCTGGCTACCAGGACACTGTACAGTGCCATTTTCCTGCCTCTGTTTTGATTATTCTTTTTAAACGATGAACAGCATCACAGATCTGCTGAGATTCAGTTAGACTTTTCAAAGTTTGACTTGATCAAAACATCTCTAATGCAAGCATGTGCAGCTGTCCTGCTCACACTTAGGTACATACTCATATGATTCTCTTCCTCTTCATTCATTCTGTGATTTTTTTTATTAACACATTTTCTCTGTGTTTCAAATTGAAACAATAAAAAAATAAAAAGGCTAGAAATAGGCGAATCATCTAGCTTTTAGTTTAAAAATTTATCTTTTCATCTTTAAAGGCTTGTGTACTTGTGGAAGTTGGTGTTGAATACATTTTGGAAGGGGGCATTTTGGTTCCAGCTGTGCTATTTTATCAAAAGAAAAGTTTAAAAGTGCCAATTAACATTGGCACATTATTGTCCATATTGTTTAATTGCTAGCATGATTCCTGGCACAGTTTTGGCTTACACCAACTAGTATTCTCTAAGACAGTTAGAAAACACAGTTCAGAGCTTTACATGGACTGCTTCCAATAGGCAACACGTATAAAGTCACCCTGTTTCAGTTGGGAAGATAGTTTATCCTCATAAACATGAGCGGTATTGTGCCACTAGACCTTAAAGCTAAAACAAACAGGCCCATTTTTGTTAGTGGAATCAATGTTGCCTTTTAGCATGAAATAAAAATGTCCCCTACATTGTCTAACTCTGAGGATGCTAAAATCCGGGAACTGGTCTAATTTTTTACAGACTTTCTCTGCTTAGAAAAACAAAATAGTGATTTTCTTATTATACTTGGAGCCAAACACAAAACCAGCATTTGTCAATAAAAGTTACTATTTTCAGTTGCCCTATTTTTCATATGACTAAAACTTCAGAAGAAAAACCTCATACATAAAAACTGGGATAAGAAAAAGTCTTTAGAACAGTATCATGCGACACTTTGAAAGGAGGTGCGGGTGACCTCCCACCAGTAATGGCCAACGTCCAGGACAGTGAGCTTCAAACAGCTGCCAGTGATTAGAGCTTCCTCTGACTCTTCTAGCAGGACCACCTCTGCAGGTGGGCAGCTACCTTTATTCCTGGCTCATCCTTGCCTGCTTAAGGAAAAATGACAAAGAAAATTTGCATTACAAAGATCGGTGTTAGAGTCTGGTAGAGGTCTGAGCTGTTAAGACTTCAACACCATTACTTGATGTATTTTTGTTCCCTCTTCTGGTCTGAGGTTATAACTACATGTCCACACTAGGGGGAGGGAAAATTTAAAATGATGGAAAAATGGCCTCTGTTCCCAGAGGTTTCTTCAGTAGAGTATCTCCTGAACCTATAAAACCAGAATTTAGACACACATACACTTTTTCTTCTACAGGACAGAGAATCAAGTATGGAGGATGCAGGATGCAAGGCTGCAGTGTCAATCTGAAGTAGTATTCAACAAGATGTTGCAGAATATATACAGCTTTTTTAGCTTCCTACAAATTGCTAACAATGCTTGGGTATAGATAGGTGGTCAACTATTTTCTCTTTCCCATTTTGAATTTTTGTTTCTTAGAATAGCAGACAACACCTCCTATGACTAATTTAAAAGGAATCCTTCATACCGGCCAGACTGGGATGCAGTGAGAGGAGATAATTTTCTTCAGTAGAACATTACTGGATGCTTCTTCAAATCTGCAGTATGAATGGATTTAGGTAGATATAGTGAATGAGAGAGGAATAATCATATTGTCTGCATTGCAGGCTGTCTTAGTAAAACATTAGTAAACTTAGTAAAAGAGTAATTTCCCTCTTTGCTGGAGAACTGAGTCTAAGGAGGGAGGAATGCCATTTTACTGAGAAAAAAGGACCTGTGTTAGCTACGCTGGGCTTTAAACCATACACTCCTTCACTGAGCTTCAAATGTCCTGGATAGTGCAATCTCTGTGTAACATTGGAGGCTTAGGAAGTGACACAATTATCTTTCTGTTTCTTTGAAAAACTTGAAAGAAATTAAATGTGCATGAGACTAAGGAAAAACCTAGAGGGTGTAGGTTAAGTCTTACAAATTTAGTGATCTTGAACTGATTATCTTAAGTGAAGCCAACTTTTACTGTTGCTGTTCCTCTGGTGAAAACCATTGAAAAGTATTCAACAAGTTATAATGCTACAATTTATTTAGTCTGAATATATCTCTAAGCCTGACTGAAACGAAGATAGCCTCATGGTCTTTGTGGAGTGAATACTCAGTCCATGCTACAAATATCAATACATTCTGTGCTTGTCAACACTCATCTTGTTCAATGCCAATAGAACTTTTCTTGTAGACTTATAATTGTTGTAATATTACTGAGATTCGTATTAACTCAGTGTTTTTAGGACCATTTGCATTGATAGCTGCTAGCAGAAGGAACATTAATCGTATTTAAAATTCTACGATTTCACAGGAAATTAATCTTTATTCCATGACAGAAATAGCTGTTGAGCGCAGGAGTCTGTTCAGTTTCAAACAATTGGTTATTGCATGAAGAAGGAATATGTACTGTTCCTTAGACCATCAAAATACCCATGTCAGTTCTTTCCACACCTCGACACTGGATGCCTCGACCTAAGAAAGCCGTTGTTACAAAAGAAAAACCTGGCTGCTGAAGAGAAGAGTAAGCAAACTCTTAAGCAGGATTCCTAGGCAGCATAACAGTGTGGCAGACTGACATTTCTGATGATCTGAATTTGTACGCGTTATATTCAGGCTTATACTTTGATGCTGTCTAGAGAAGAAAAATATTTGTGTCTCTGTGTATATTTGCCTTTATCTTCCTTTGAGTTTCCTTTTTATTTAAGGTTTCTTTTTAATAATTTATTCTTAAGCACCATGAACATTTCCAGTCCCAACAGGAGAAACTGAATGAAGCAACAGCATTGAATTGCTGTTGAACTGTTGAATTACTATCCAGCTTTCCTTTATTTCTCCCCATTTATTGAACACCTACTGTTCTATTTCTTAATGTTTCTTTTTCTGTTCCCTGTTACTTATGCCACTGCTTCACTCACTCTTTGTGCTTGTGTGACAGAGACAGAAACAAATAAAGGCTGCTTTTGAGATGAAAAGTCCAAACTTGCTTTTCTTGGGGTTTTGTTTACCTGTTTCTTGCCAGCATGACAACTTAAGTGGTCACAGCATTGCTGCCATTGTAGTGTGATGGCCATTTTACTTTGGCAGGACATGATTTCATACTTTAAGCTCTCCAGAATTCACAGAAACTGATGTCCTTTCTCTTCAAGTCTTGTAGAGTTTTGAACAAAATTCAGTTCACTTCCTGAGCTGATAATGGCAACTAAGAACTTCTTTATGAGAGACAATAATGAATTAATCCCAATCAAGTACTTATTTAAAAAAAAAAAAAAAGAGGAAATGCAGAATCAGAGTTATTTTCTCAGTCTCTCTGAAAACTGCAGTTAGAGAAAGGGTAAAATATAATTTTAAGCAAAAAGATATTTCTAGTGACTGATGAGATTACCATGTATTCTGTTTTCAGGGTGGAGCAGAACATAATATTCCAGTGGTCATTTCTAAGATTTCCAAAGAACAACGAGGTGGGTTTCAGATTAGTACACTGTTTTGACATACTCTTTAAAGCAAGGTGCATTAAGTCTTGAGATCCTTCAGGAAGTGTTAAATGCTATTGATGTACCATTTCTGTCTCTGTGTCATGATCTCTCTCTTCCTCAGAACTGTTCTCTGAAAAAGTACAGAATTTATATTTGGAATATTTTTTTTTTTAAGTTCTTGTAAAGCATTATTTTTAAGCGAGAAATAAGAAAGTATTTAGAGAATGAAAATGTTTAACAAAATTTAATTATTATGTAGCTTTTATTTCCAAATGGTTATTGCCAGGAAGCTGTAGCAGATGAAATGTTTGGTCATTAAAGCATGGTAACACAAAAAGAGAATGCATGTCTTTTTATACTGGGTAGTAGGGTAGTACTCAGACAGGAGTGGGTCATGGCAGAACCTTGATAATACTCATAGGTTATTTCAGCATTAGATGCTGTGCTCTGTAAGCCTTTGCAGCAACTCATACAAAGCAAAACTAGGACTGCATAAGGTCTTAACCATACTTATTTTTAATACAAGCAGAGCTGGTGCTGAATCTCTGTATTGTTTTTAACTGGCAATGTTTTGAAATTATTGGAATGATATGATATGTGCTAGGAAGATGGATAATGGTTAAACAGCTCATGTTGTGCACAATGATGAGAGATGAAGGTTGTGAATCAGTACTAGTATGGTGTATTTAATATCTCTGTTATGTTTGTGTATTTTTGTGTACATTTGTTTAAGGTCAGAAGCGTAAACTTGGAAGCATCTCCCTCCATCTGTAATGCAATAATTCTAGGATGCTGGTTCTGCACAATTAAAATATGCCAGCATAAAAAAAATCACATTATTCACCCACACAGATAAAGAGAGATACGGGGGAATCAGCATATTGAGAACTGAAAGCCAACTCTGAAAAGTAGATGTGAAAGTTGTATGCAGGGAGGCTATAGAGTTGCATGGAATGAGCCCCTAAGGAAGGCAATAAGGTTAACCTTAAGAAGTTATACTTGTGACTCTGTTCTTTTCAGTATACATATAAGTATGTAATACATAGTAATGTGGCATATATTACCTGCACTAGCTATTAAAATGCTATTAAGCACTGCAGGAAAAATTAGAAAAACCTAGGTTTAATTGAGCACACAAAAGTACACACTGTTTTCTTTTATTTTTGTTGTTATTTTTTTTGTTGCAGTAGCTGATGCATTATTTCTAACCTCAGTATCTAGCTGAGATACGATCTCCATTACTGCTTTCAATAAAAATACTGTGATTTTTAGAGAGCTAGTTTTGAGGGACATGTCTTGTGTAGGAGACTACTGTCTCGTGGTGTAGAAAGTGTCATGCCATGTGTCTGTAGTAGGGTTCTTTGATACAGAGAATGCTGTTTGAACCAGAGCCTGTACCTCAGAACTCTTCAAGCTTGGTTCTGTCCTCCTCCCAATTGACTCCAGCTCTTTCTTTGGCTCTCTAAACAAGAATGTGACTTTTGATGCAATTCTTAAAACCAGTGATGCACATAAGGTGCTTAGGTTAGCACATTAGGTCATATATGAAGTGTTAGTACATGCAAGCTCAGTGTCTGATGACAAATATTGAGATATGCATTTAGTTAAGAAAAAAAGAAAAAAAAAATCAGAATGCCTATGCTCTAATGATTTAAGCATCCTTTGTTACATCTAGCTAATAAGACCAGTCCTTCAAACATATACTTGAGTGTCATCATTTATGTCAATATTGATTCCAGTTTTACAGCTCATGTAAATAAGTAAAATTTTTTGGATCAAGTCCAGTTACAGTCTTTTCTAGACAGTGTCTTCTGGGATGTTTTGGAATACTATAGATAAATAATCCCATATAATCTGTTATCATTCCTTAGTTCTCATGTTGGGGGTTATTTAGTTCTTTACAGACAATTTAAAAATCTTTGTTATATTTCTTGTGCATTTGTAAAGCATATTTGCATTAGATAGCTCTGTAACAAAACACAATATTTAAAAGTTGCAACTGTAGAATTAGATTTTGTAAATTCCCTTGTGATTTTTAAGGTAGAGCTTTGTTTTAAAAATCAAATTCAGTTTGGCTGGTGATTTTGTACAATATACTGATGGTCTAGCTCTTCAGCATATAAAGTGTTATCCAGAATAAATACTCCACTGAATTTTTCAAAGATGCAGGATCTAAAGTATCTTTGGTAAAAGCTTACAAGTTAAATTTGTCATTCATAAGTATCTTTGGAGTCTCCATGTTGCTTTTTCCTCAGAGTTTGTTAAGACACAATCTCTCACAGGCAAATAGGATGTAATCCTGCAGTCATTTTCTATTCAGAAAAGTATGCCATACCTCACCATAATGGCCTAAAAGGTGCTGGTAACTGATGGAAGATGTTTCATAGTCTTGTACTTGGGCTAGGTAGACTCATTTTAACACTGATATGCCAGTATTTTGGGATTAAAAAAAAAAAATCCAAATAATTTATTTGGACACTGTATGTTGGGGTTTTTATTAGGTTTTTGTTTAAATTCTTAAAAGATTATGTAAAAACATTAAATGAGATAGGAATACATGTACATGAAATGTCGGATATTTTGTACAAAATGAGTGAAAAATGTGCTTTTTGTTTTCAGCGGAACTTTCAGGTTTGCTCTTTATAGGAGATGCAATTCTACAGGTGAGTAAAATTGCAAGTTCTTTTGTATATATTTTTCTAGAAAAGTGAAATGAAATCTATACTTATGAAATGTAGAGTAAGTCTTCTCTTTATTTTTTCAATAACAGATTAATGGAATTAATGTGAGAAAATGCAGGCATGAAGAAGTGGTGAGCTTTTCTGTTTTTTAGTCTACTTTTTGTGTTTTGTAGTTACTGCGATGATAGTGTATGCTGTTAGCAATGCACTGGTATCAGTTGTATTATTGTTATTCTCAAACAAATATGACTGTACCTTCTAGCATGGCAAGCAACTAGGATCTTAGTGCAATCTATTCTTCATAAGTTTGTTGTAATTGCTGTTCTCAGATAGGCTTTCCTATATTAAAGGTGATTATTTTATTATGCAGGGTTTAGCTGTACATATTCCAATATTTCTTCTTCTGGCTTATAGCTATCAAATTTCAGCGGTGCTGCACCTTTCTGGCTGTGTGAGGTCATTTTAATTTCAAAAGCTGTAATTTGCACTATGTTGGAGATTTGTTGTTTGGTTGGTTTTAATCCTATTTAAAAACTGAAACAAAAGTATTCGTCTGCCTTTCATTCTCTGGCTGTTACTTATGAGGGTACTCTTCTCCTTCAGTTAAGCTGTTATCAATATGGGTTTAAAATAATGGTGTGTTAAGGAGATTCCTTCTAGAGAAGCAATGTGTGTTTGAGAGCTCTATAGTAGGCTGGTTCCCTTGGTAAGTCAGCTTTGCTAAAAGTATCATGTACTGTTGTTTTATTTGATTTTTTTACTCTTCTTAAGTACTTTCAAAAGTAGGAAACCCTATATTTCAGAAAAAAATGCCAGAAATGAGAAGACTACCAAAGAAATTATCTTTAAATCCTGTGTAGCTCCATAGAATTTGTACCTGTATTTATAAAATAAAGTAGTAATGTTATATTTGAAAGTTTACTTTTCTAAAACTTACTTTGCCAATTCAAAGACACTCTGTATTTCATACAGCAGTCTGTTATATAACAGATCATTGAACATACGCCATTCAGGTATTGAAAACAAGAGTTAATAAAGTTGAAGTTCTGATGAACATGTTAGTGCAGGCTGAAAGATTAGATCACTGCACTATTCCTCAGAGTGCTTTTGTGCACTGATTTTGTGTTGGAAATTTGTGGTGCAAATCATGCTTCATTCTTCAGAGCCTTTGTCATACCACATTCCATATACACAGGCTAATAGTCATATTTATAGTGTTTCTAAGCTTTGGCTGTGCAACAGTGATCAGTTTTTAATCTTTTATAAGCTTACTGCAGTTTTTTGGTTTAATATGCATTAGTATGGTAAATCTCAATGGGATTTAAATAGGCTTTTGGAATTTCAAGACATAAGAAAAAGATATTACTAAAATTGTAGACTTGCACACTCAAAGGCATATTGAAAACTGGTAAAAACATGAGGATTTTTTTTCTTTTATGTGAGACAATCTCTTAACCATTACAAGTATACATAAATCTGTTGGCTATTTATGATCAGGTTTAAACATTTACAGAAAAAAAGAGATTTTGGAAAAGCCAAAAGGTGCAGATTGACAGAGAGTAGCAAGTGTCATTGTGTTAAAATTGTTTTATACCTTGTTTGTCCAACATAATCTGCTTCTCAAACTCCTTATAGATAATTCTCTCTGAATTTAAAAAAAAAAGTGTTATCTTACCAGTTTTGAATGTGCATTTGTGTATGTGCCAGTGTTTTAGGAGTTTAAGAAGCAGATAAATTTTAAATTAAATCTTTATTCTAAGAATAATTCTTAAGAATTAATAGTAAATATTGAGCGGTATTTAAATAAGATAAAATGTCCGTATGACATTTTATAAACTAAAATCTGTAGACAAGTTATAAATCTAAAATATAAAATAAATATAAAACCCAAAGTAAATTAACTCTGATAATCTACTTTTTTTCAGAAACATTCACTATCATATGTTATATATTTGTGGAGTAAACTTGTTGTAAGGCCTACTATGGTAATTATAGGTATCCTTATGCATTGTGCAGTAATCTGTGGGTTTAGGCATAGCCCTGAGTAAAGGGCAAGTACATCAACTGGCCTGCCAGCAGGAGTTATAGGTAGCATTTTGTCTGCAGCATGCCCTTTGCAGTTTGAGCTGTTCTAGCACTTCTCTCTTGCAGGGTCTTTATCAAATACAGGATCTGTAACTCTAATCTCAAGGTAATAAAGAAAATAGGAAGTGTGTGGAGCATAGTTGCTCACAGCAGGGAGTCAGACAGTAGTGGAAACTTAATTTTCAATCCTTATTGCATCTAGGTACTTTTCAAATGGCTGTGCAAGGTACATGAGCTCCGAGCTTTGTTTCTTTCTGATTTGTTGTGTTACTAATTAAGACTTAGCAGGTATCATATTATGTGAGAATATATTAGTGTTTTGCGTTGTCTTAATGTCTTAGAAAATATTTATTGTAAACCAGAGTGGATTTTTTTTCTGTGTGTAAAGCTGAAGATGTGCATAGAAAATTTAAACTTGTATCTGTGGTTTGCATCCTATGAGTGTTCATTCTTTTCTAGATCCAAAACTTCTTGCTGCTTGCAGAAACATTTTAAGCATATGTCATATCTTCATAGCTCTGCAATGAAATGACCTGTGGCATAATCCCTGCAGCCTATTATATTACACGGATGATTAGTTGGCCCTGGTATTTCACTGTGCTTTACTGATAACTATAGTATGCATATAAAATTATTTGAATTTCAGAATTAAGTAGTTTAATCAAATTAGTGCCATCTTTCATACTAGGGAGAATCTTTCTCCAATATATAGTGAACTTAGTTGGCTTAACACTTGTGGGCACTCCTTTGTTGTCTTTATTGTCTTCCATTAGTTATTATATCTGGTGATATAGTATTCTGTGATGCACAGATCCTGTAGTCCAAGTAATAATGCTATAATCTGAAGCCTAAATCTAGCAAATAGGTAGGTAGATACATAGGCAGGCAGATAGATGATTGATAGATAGATAGGCAGATAAGACTTTTATAAGACTGGATAGGTAGGTTTAGTCAGTTCTTAGTGTACCTTACTGGAGGCGTTTACACAGTTCCTTTCTGATTTTTTTAGCTTTAGGTGAATCACATCATTTTGAGCTTAGTTTTCTGCTTGTAGAAGGTGTAAATATTATTCATATCATGAAACCACGCTATGAGTTTCTATCAAAGGCTGAATGTCAGCTTGTTGTTTGTCTTGGGTTGTAAAGACTGTACAGCATAACATTGCTTCAGTCTTAGTGCTCTCTTATGGTAAAATAAATACATGCTCTCTGTGGTGAAGTATCAGCATGGGAGGAGGTTGAGGAAAAAAATAATCTAGCAATTCTGTTAAAAAATATCTCTCAACATCATACTGGCAGTTTGACTCAAAAAATGCAGTATGAGCATGAATGTAGAGGTAAGGAGTGTCCATTATGTCTGTTAATTTACATGATTTTGTGCTCTTTCTACTCTGGATTTATCTTTGAAGGGCTCACAATGGTTATGATTATTCATAAGGCTGAAAACTAATATATTTGTAGTTTGGAAACTATTGTATCTGTAGCCCTTACCTCCATTTATTGTACAAACATAAAACAAAGATAGATAGGCAATCACCAGCATGATGCTGTTCTTGTAGCACATGTGGACATTTTTGGTGGTTCTGGGTCTAGCCACTACACCACTAACAATGGACAAAATCTTGGGAGAGAGAGAGGCCCTGCTGTGAGCTACTTCCCTTGAGCTACTACTGAGTGGATTGAAGTAGGAGAGTGCAAATCAACTCAGTTGCATACTGCCAAAAATCTTGTGTTGGATCTACTGCTCCTACTGTCTCCAGGGTTATAGTGCACCAAAGCATCTGGGGCCCATGGAGAAGGAAGAATTTCAGTCGAATTAACATTGATATGTTTAAGAATATGTGTCTGTTCTTAACATTGTGAATAAAGCACCTCAGGTAGTATCAACAATTATGGTTACATATCATTGGAGTTTCTTTGGATCTTAACATCTGTTTTTCTCTTAGGAAATAAAAATAGAATTAAATGAATATGGATATGAAATAATTTCTTATTTCTTGTGTTTGGGGAAAATTCAGGGAATGTTTCTAATGAAAAATGATAGTTTGTATGTGCCAGTTAACGTGGCATTCGTGCATTCCTTGAAAAGCAGCAGGAAAAGCTGATGTAGAGGTAGGTAAGTATCAAGACAGCATAGATTAATTAGACTTTGGTGGATTTTATGTAGAGCTAGCTACAATATGTAGCACCTTGTTTCAATTCAGCCATCAGCTGAGTTTTGCGCAAGACATCTTTTTCCAGCAGAATGACCTGATGACCTGACATGGGATGTCCAGGTGTACTGCATTGTATCTTTTGCTTCCCCCTTTTCTCTGCATTTGTAGCAGGGCTGTAACTGTGCTAGCCTTCCATGACTCATACATGTTATATGAAGCTGACGGTATAGGGATTGTAGTTGCTTAACTATAATCATGTGCACCTAATGAAACTCTTATTCTGATTTTTTTGTTTTAAAACTATGGGTTTATTCAAATGGATTTTTAAAACCCATTATGAATAGTTTTGGTAATGTTTTTCATAAATGTTTTTAAGCAGAATAATGAACATATTGTATTTGTAAGACAGGACTGGAAACCAAATGATCTGAAATCTCACTCAGTCTTGACTTTGTAGATGTGTCTTTTGGTAAATCATGTTCTTATGTTATCTTTGTTTCTTTAACTGTGAAAAAGAGACCTAGACTACTATCAGGTTTAGCTCACTGAAATATATGAAGTGCTTCAGAATCTGTTCTAGAAAAGGATCTCTACATTAATATTGTGCTGTTTGGTAATAGTAATAACAGCAACCTGCACATACAGATCACCGCCTTCTTATATGATGTGACAGAGATCTTGTACTGTATAACTCATAGCACAACCATTTAATCCTTTCGCCTCTAGACTGAATGGTGACTTTAAATATTGAAGCTGCATAGCTGGTGCTTCTAAGAGAAGACCATAGTCAATCTGCAATTTATAACTTTTGAATTTAAAAGTGAAATGTAAACTTTTTGGAAACCCAGTATTTCCTTTGTAAGACGAGGCCAAGTTATTGCTTTTCCCATA